CCTTTCCCTCCTCCCTCCCTCCCTCCCTCCCTCGTTCCTTCTTTCTTTCCTTCATTTTGTGTTTGTCTGGTGTTTTAACTCTTCCCATGGGTGTGTGCCCATGAGTATGGATGTCAGATACTAACTTTTGTATCTTCATTGATTGGTCTCCATTTTACTTTTTGAGACAAAAGAAGTGCTTGCTGAACTTGGAGCTCACTGATGGGTTAGGCTGGCTGGCTAATGAACTTCAGGAATTTGCTTATTTCTGCTCACTTCCCCCTCCTGCTCTAGCCTGCAGCAGCCCTAGGGTTGGTTACAGAAGAGTGCTGCCATGTCTGGCTTTTATGTCGGTGCTGGCGACCCACACTGAGACCCAAACGCTTCGTGAGGGGCACTTTACCTACTGTGCCATTTCAAAACTAGGGAGTGGGTTTTGAATTCCAGGGAAGGCCATCTGGGATCAAATCCTCGCAGCAGTGGGAAAGGAGAGGCCTGAAGTGCTAGCTCTGGAAAGGATGGTGGTATTCGAAGGGGTGGGACCATCTTTCTTGAAGACAGGAGAAGGAAAGGTAGGGTGCTGAGGTAGCTCACTGGTAAAGACACTGGTTGCACAAGCGTGGCAACCTGAGTTTGATCCCTTGAAGCCAAGGGAAGGTGGAAGGAAAGAACTGACTCCACAAACGTGCCCTGTGACCTCCACAGGCATGCTATGGTATGTATGCCCCACCTCCGTGTGTGCCAGTGCACGAGTGCGCGTGTGCACAATAGAGACAGTTGTGGCTAGTGATCACACTGGTTTAGGGAAGTCACAGCAGTGGGTTCTCTTCACTCTAACTACGTTCTAAATACTTACCTTGAGCCTGGTAGTGGTGGCGCACGCCTTTAATCCCAGCACTCTGGAGGCAGGCAGATTTCTGTGAGTTCGAGGACAACCTTGGCTACAGAGTGAGTTCCAGGAAAGGTGCAAAGCTACGCAGAGAAACCTGTCTTGAAAAACTAAAAAAAAAAAACAAAAACAAAAACAAAAACAAAAAAAACAAAACAAACAAACAAACAAACAACAACAACAAAAAACTTATCTCCATACCTACAACTAAGCGTAGCTCTCGCCTTTCACCAAAGAAACTCCTGTTTGTGGCAGATGGAGACTGTTATGGAAAGCTACAAGCAGTCAAAATGCAGAGAGCCACTGACTGTAGGGTGCCCGGGTCCAGTTGATACATCCACAATACAATCCTACACCTAAGGCTCAGGGAACACTTCACAAGACAGGGGCAGAAAGATTAGAAGAGTCAGAGGACCAGGACATCTAATGCACCCACGAAAGGCCAACAATATAGTTGCCTGAACTAGACCTGAAATGTTACAACACCAGGTTACATGCCACTGTGGGAGGGGGAAATCCCACGAGGCCCCATTCCTAGATAGAGTTACAGGCAATTAATGGCTTCTAAAAGAAGGAGAATTAGTCTTCTCCAGGGGCAAGTGCCTTATAGGCTATCTAATCCCAAATGGCCATCTCTAGACATACATACATAAAAGTAATAATACAGGGACTCAACAGGTTTTGTGTGTGTGTGTGTGTGTGTGTGTGTGTGTGTATGTGTGTGTGTGTGTGTATGTGTGTACCAATAACAATGAAAGAAAAAGAGACCATGACTTTGAGAAGGAGTTGAGGGACATGGGTAAAGTAGGAAGGAGTTGGAGGAAATGATGTAAATACAGTACTCATCTATAAAATTCTTAAACAAGGGAAAAAAGATCAAGAACCATCTATGGAGCTTTCTAGGGGTCTGCATAACATCTTAGTATAATAAAACTGCTATAAAATATCTTCAATGGAGTAATTTATAATCCACAGAATTTTATTTTTTCCCAGTTCTGGAGGCTGGGAAGTCTAAGAGGCAGGCATTAGCAGATAAAGTGTCCGGTGTGTAGGCCTTTTCCTCATGGATGGTGATGTCTCTGTGTCATCAATTGACGGAAGGGGCTGAAGGGCTCCCTCAAATCTCCTTTATAACCCCATTCATGACTTGAAGGCCTTGCTTCTTTTTCTTTTCTTTTTTAGGTTCTTGGGTTGAATCTAGGGCTTTTTGCATGCTGGGCATGTACCTCCAGTACCCCATTGGATGATTCGAGGCAGGTGCTCTACCCCTGAGCCACACCCCAGCCCCTCACTGGGGGATTCTAGGCAGGTGCTCTACCACTGAGTCAACCCCAGCCCCTCACTGGGGGATTCTAGGCAGGAGCTCTACCACTGAGCCACACCCCAGCTCCTCACTGGGGGATTCTAGGCAGGTGCTCTACCACTGAGCCATACCCCAGCCCTTCCCTGGGGGATTCTAGGTGGTGCTCTACCGTTGACTCCTCACCAGGCTTCAGCATCTGACTTGGGGAGGGTGGCATCAGTTAGGTCATGGCACCTGACCGTCATGATCATTCGGGATTGAGAAAGGGAAGATGGTTGGGAATGGTGATGGCTGGAAGCAGCTTCTGGGCACTGAAGAAGGAACATTAGGAATATTAGGGCAGAGATAAAGACGGCAAACTTGGTATTATGGACAGAGAACTGAGAAACTTGTGAAATTTATCCTCAAAAATGGTTACCCCTCATCATGGGGAGATAAACGTTTAAAGAACAGAGATTAGGAATTTGAATGTTTATCCTCATCTTGGCTTTGCCCCAAACCCTATAGCATTTAATTATGGCAAATTCTTGTTCCCAAGATGGTAAGGTATAAAGAACATTAGTGTTATGCCCAGATTGTGACCCCCCAAAGAGACCACTGAAGACCTTGGATGTCCAGAATGCAACAACAAGGTTTATTCTGCAGATACAAGTCTAGACAGGGGACTCATTCCTACACCCAGTACAGTGAGGCAGGGAGGAGTTCCTCTTTCTTTGTGTGGCTGGCTATTTAAAGGCAAAAACCACAAGCCCTTCAGGGAGGTTAGGGGGGTTTGCACGGGTGCAACTTGGATTGGTTTATTTTTATCTCTGTTCTCTTTTAATTGGGTGAGGGTATGTAACCTTTGAATTTACTGGTTGGTGGTTACAATTATCACTTTGGGGGCTGTCCAGCACAAGTCCCAGGCTTTGTCCTTGAGCTGCCACGGGGGCTGGCTGGCCTAGCACGTCATGCACATAACTCTAAGTTGGTGAGGGGCCCCA